AAGTAAATCATGTTTATCCAAACGATAATAAGTCAACTCTTTCCAATTTTTCTTTAAAAGTTTATCTAATTCCAGAAGTTGATTTTCATAATCATTTTCGAAATTATCCGAAATCGATTTTAATATTGCATCCGTTGATTTTGATCCGGATTGTGAAGTGGTAGTGGCGTTGGTGGATGATTTGTATTTTAAGAATAATTTTTTACGATTATGTGTATCATGAAATTGTTTACGTTTATTCGTTGTGGCTTGATTATCATGAAAATCATGAGATGATTTTTTTTTCAACGCGTCATGAGAGGTGGATAAAGGAAACAAAGTATTTCCTGCTTCCGATGATAAGGAAGTGGGATCTTGACGAGGATAAATATTATTATTCATTTGAATTGTGGATGTAACAAGTGAAGCTTGAGTTGTTGATGGCCTTGGATGATGATGCTGATGATGATGATGAATTGTTGAAGATTCAGTTGGTGGTGGTGGTCTTTGAGAAAGAATTTGTACTGAAGCCCTCGGAATAATAATCTGAGCTGGAGGTCTACTTGTACCACTTTGTGTCGCTTGCCTCGGGATATTGATCTCACTTATATTAACAACAGGTGGAGTAATAATTGGGGTAGGAGGTCTCACTAAAATGTTTTGTGCTCTCAATGCGTTTGGAAATGGTGGTCTAGTAAGGTTATTGATCTCTCCGGATTGTTGTCTTATTCCTACACCAAGATTATGTCGACGTTGTGGATTATTCTGACTTGTTTGCCTTGAAGAACTCGAACGTGGTTGTCTGTTAGGATTACCTGGTCTTTGTTGATTAGTTGAGGACATGTGGGCGAATGGAAAAAAAAAATGAAAAATCGAAGTAGGGTAAGAGAGAAAAGTTCAAAAAAACTATAAAGTTTTATACGATCGAAGGGAAGAGTAGACTACTATCTAACGAGTAGACCTCTCCTTAAAATGTTATTCCTTTCTCTTAAAATAAAACGTACAGGTTAAAAATAGATAACGGTAGAAACGTTAGCTTTTTATTAAAAAAAAAAAAATTTTAAAAAAATTTAAAAAAAGGTTCGAATATTATATATATGATATTAAAGAATACAAAATGTGACGTAAGAAACACAGGTATGTATAAAGAAATTAAAAGATCTTCAATAAAAATCCATTTTATCTATATATCATATAAATTTAAAGATTATTACATGTGATCAATGAATGTTAAAGTAATTAACGGTACAGTATAAATAATTTAACTTAATTGAACTTTATTCGTGAATGCCACAATTTCTTTTTTTAAACATAAAACATGAGCGCAGTACTTCAAAGGGTTCTAAACGCAAGTGTTACAGGTATATATAATATCAATTACATCAAAGATTTTTTTTTTTCATTGTATCAATTACATCAAAGATTTTTTTCTTGGTTTTTTTTTCAATAATTAGTCAATAACACTGTATGTCTCTTCCATTAATCGAGGTATTTGTCATTCTTAGAATTGCTAACGATGATACTCAAGAAGATTTAGTTTATATGGTAAAGAAAATTCTTAATGTTCGAGTATTTTGAAGATGAATCTGGTAGTCAAGAAGTGTAAAAGATACTGGTTTGGAAGTTTTATGTAATAAAAATTTTAAGAGATGGAAAAAAAAAGAGGGGATGGATTATAAATTATATAAAATATAATATATTTTAAAATTAAAATTGTGATAATCTGTGTCTCAATTCACATTATACGGAAATACCATTAAAGGTTAGTCGTCAATGATTAGATTATCGTGGGAATTAATCACATGAAATTATTTATACTTTATTTTTTAAATTTTTATTTAAAGGTGACTTTCATGATTCCATGAAAAGTGATGAAGCAAAAGAAATGTACGAACGTTTCTTGAAAAAAATGAAAAAAAAAAATATGTTGAAGATCGAATTAAAGGTATTTACAATAATAACATTCGGTAACAATTACTAGATTTTTAATAATATTCGCTCGAATTTTTTTCTTTCTTTTAAAGATGGCAATGATGAATGTTAGTATTGTAAATGAGGTAATGAGTAAATTTTATTACTATAATAATTAATAATTTATACAATTTAAATAAAAAATTAAATAAAAATTACTTGCATTTATATTTATATATATATATGTATAATAGGCCTAGTAACATTGGAATTAGGATTCACGTAAATTTGAATATATTTCCAAAACGAAAAAAAAGAAAATTAAAAAAATTCACAATCTTCAAAATAAATATATTTTTCAAAAGAAGGCAAACTTGATCTCAAAAAAAAAAGAAGAGAAACTGACTAATGAAAAATCAGTTCTTGGTTTTCTTGGCGGTTTTTCTTCAATCAACTATCATATCGATCAAAATGACCAACTTATCAAGTTTTCCTTTGTTACGTCTGTGATATAAATTTTTTATTTGGAAATATGTAATATAAGGTATATACAAATACGTAGTATGAAGATATATATATATAAAATAAATATATGTACATAAAATGTCCTTCGCTGATATAATATACATTTTTCTATTTCGTGACAGATACAAATGTGATATGTGAGATATGTGATGTTTACAACAAAAAGTCCGAAATTATAAAAAAATGATATTTCGTGTAATTCCTTTCCTTCCCATTCCGAAATCAAATTATATGCCGTTATCATTGGATTAAGATATTTTCCTCACGAATATCATTATGAAGAATACCATATTTGTGAATTGCTTTTAATGCATCAAAGAGTCATAATCTTTTCTTGAACTTGATGGGCGCTTATCTTTACTTAATATTGAGTTGTACATAAAACATCACCCGATAAATAACCATAAAAAACCTTAAAAAGAACAAAATAATGCCAATTTTTTTTATTATTATTATATTATAAAAAAAAAATTTTTTTTTATATTGTGGATGATTTCGGAATGCACTCTCCTTGAATATCGAAAAGAGCTTTATAAATCCTAACCTCAAAAGATATGAAAGATATGACATCTTTGATAAATCCGCATATTTTGTTCTCCTAAATCTAACAAATCTTTTAAATAGGTTAGGAAAAAAATAATTGTCTACAAGTTAAAGTTTTAAGAGAATTTGATTTTAATAAGAAATGTAAAGTATACCTGGCCTGGTTTATCAATTGGTTAACGAAGAAACATCATAATAAGTCGGAAATTTTCAAAAATGTGAATTCCCTTAACTTCAATTTTAATTAGAATTATGATTATTATTATTTTTCTCGTTTATAATAACAAGTTAAATCCGGATATCCAACATTTGCTAACTTATTGGAAAATTTTTAATCCGTTACCAAAAGATAATGATAATTTACTAGCCATAATTAAGGTCATGAGGATAAATCGTTTTCTTTAAACTTTATTAAGGAAGGTTAATTCCTTTTACAATAGCAAGCGTACTTTAAATGACGAATTTTTTCGTTTGCATTGTTATCAATGTTAATAATGTTAATAGCGAATTGTCCTTGACGAAACAAACATAAACGAGGGTAAATAATAAACATTGGTTATTATCATGAGAAAAGCAGAAATAAAAGGCAAGAACGTATAATAATGAAATGAAGTCGCGTTCTGAATATGTAAAAATGTTTGTCATCATAAATAAATATTATTACATAATAAAACGCAATACATTTATCTTAAAAATCGAATCGATAGCCAAAATACCATACATGGTAATTACATCCCCAAATTATTTTTTTTTGACATTTGAATTAATAATTTGGATTCTATAAACATAAATAAAATAATATTTGCATGTTTATTTTTAAATTTACTATATATATATGTTTTAAAATGTTTTATTATTATTATATTAACAGCTAATTTAATTTTTTTTAATATCTAAATAATTTTTAATTAATATTTTCTTAACAATAAATGAATATTAAAATTTTTAAAATTAAAATTAAAAATAAGAATAAAAAAAAAAAATTAAATTAATGTTCTTTTAAAAATATTTTATTATTTCTAAGGTTTTTGTAATTCACCAGACATAAACAATTTTCCAAGTGTTGGACCAGAATATTGATTTAATTGTTTACAATAATTATTAATTTGTGCGGTTATTAATAATGAATCAAGTCTTGATGGTTCAGGTGGAAGTTTAAATAATTTTGTTATCTCCTCTTCGGGAAGAAGTTCTTGACCTGCAGCTAAACGATGCACGTTTTCTTGTTTCTAAAAAATTATAATTATTTAATAATTATAATTATAATAAATTATTTTAATAAATCAGAATAATAATCCATTAAATATATAATTCGTTTTTTTTTTTTTTGTACTTACTCTCTTTTGAAGTGCGGTTTGTAATTTAGTTTGCTCTCTGGTAACGCTCCTTTGCCAAAAAGCAAAATTACTTTGTTCTTGTCCATGTTCATCAATAGCTTCTAATAAGAATTCTAAATTCTTTTCAATATAAGGGTCAAGACTTAATTCTAAGGTATCAAAATTTGGAGTTAAAGGACCAGTAACAGTTTCTTTATCTAATGTAGAAATTCCTCCTTGAGGAATGACATTTTCAAAATCATCCAATGAATGAAGAAGCGCTGTGATCAAATGAGAATTTTTAATTGTAATAGGAAGTTCTTCAAAAATATTTGAAAATGTAAGTTTATTCTTTAAAAGTGATTCAGAGGTAAATTTATTTTCACGTTGGGCATCCATGAAGGCTTGAGTGAATCTAAAAGCACGTAATGACAAATTACCATGAGTTGAACGAGATACATCTAAAATTAATAATTGAATTAATTAATTAATCAATTAATTTTTAACATTTTAATATTTTGAAATAATTTTAATAATAATAATAATAATAATGAATGAATTATTTACCATGTACAATGACCACACTTTTATTATTAAATGTTTGTTGGTAATTATATTGAGTCTCAATTAATTTATGAGTTACAAATGAACCCAAATATGTTGATTGATACCAACCAACTGTATTATGATCAACATTAACTTCTCGAAGACAACGCATCATATCAACTTGATACCTGGCACCTGAAAACAACAGGTTATAATTTTATTAAATAATTATGTAATAATAAAAATAAATGATGATAATAAATGATGATGATAATAAATGATGATGATAATAAATGATGATGATAATAAATGATGATAATAAATGATGAAAATAATAATACATACTAACCATCAACAATTTCATTTTCATCGTCGGACTTTGTTGGACCAGGGAAAGGGAAACAATTAGTTACTTCCAATACTCCATTCACATCAAGTCCCAAAAGTTGACCAGTGACAGTATTAGGAAAAAATTCACGGCAATGTTTTATTATCTTGAGGACTACCTAATACATAATAATAATAATAATAATAATAATAAATAGGTAAGTATATAAATTTATTTAACTATTTACATATAAAATTTATTATTATTATTATTATTATTTTGGAAAGAGAGAACTAACCAGTCCATCAAGTTGAACACTCTCTAGTGGTACGTTTCCTTCAATATCTAAAGCCGCAGTTACATTAGTTACATTAACATTTGAAGGTGATTCTTTTGTTATTGTTGTTGAAGTACCGTTCGTGGCCATTTTTTATTTATTAATAACACCGAATTTTTTAATAGAACAAAGATTATTTCTTAATAACAAAAAAATCAGCATCCTAAATCCGGAAACTAACCCTGATTATATATTGCAGATCGTAATCTTTCATATTTTTTTTTTTAAAGCAATGTGATACTTTGTGATACTTGTGATACTTGTGATACTCTATTTGTTTTTAATTGTTGAGATGTAGATGATGCTACACTTAGCATATACTTTATCATTTCCTTTAAAAAAAATCAATAAATGATAATGAAATTGTTATAAGCATTGGAAAATTATTGAGCAACAAATTAAGTTATTTATATTGTTTATTATTGTTTATTATTGTTAGGAAAGTGATCAATCATTTTCGTTTAAAATAAAAGATCCAATTTTTATTATAATTATTACAATTGTCTTTAAATATTATAATTTTTGATTTATCTAAACCATATTTAATTCTTCAAATAATATAATATTTAATATCAAAGATTATAATTTAAAATTTAATAAAAAATTGATTGATGAATAAGTTATATTAAATGATAAAATTATCTTTATTGAAAAGGTTCCAATTCAATTCAATTCAATTCAATTAATCAATAAAATATAAATAACAATAATAAATATACATCTATTATATCTAAACAAAACGAAACAAAAAAAAAAAAAAGCAGTAACAAATATTAAAGTCTCTCAATAATAATTGAAGAAGCACCTCCACCACCATTACAAATTGCCGCAGCTCCCAATTGTCCAGGTTTTAAAAGATGTGTTAATGTTACCAAAATACGAGAACCCGATGAACCAATTGGATGACCTAATGCCACAGCACCTCCAGCAATATTGGTTTTATTAGGATCCATCCCCAAAATTTGTTCATTAGCGCGTGATACCACACTGAATGCTTCATTAAATTCGAATAAACTAATATCCGAAATTTGTAATCCAGCTTTTTTCAATGCTACTGGCAAAGCTTTCGATGGGGCAATGGTAAAATCAATTGGATCTGTGGCCGCATCACCATATGCTTTAATTTATTATTTTTATTATTTTGAGGGTAAATGATATAAATAATGTAAATAATGTAAATAATGTAAATAATGTGAATTATGAAATAATGTAAAGGTTGTAAAATATAATTAAATAATATAAATAATTTAAAATCAAAGATATCTTACAAACAACACGAGCCAATGGTTTAACACCAAGTTCTTCAGCTTCCTCTTTAGTCATAAGTAATAAGGCACTTGCTCCATCATTAAGTGTCGATGAATTGGCCGC